AATGACTTCAAAACAAGATACAGAAATTTCGGACGACGAAGAGTCAGAATGGCTGGAAAATATACATCCAGGTTTATTACATGAATCGAGCGAAGAAAAGCAGTTAGACGACCTGGAAATTTCTTCATTTATTGAAGAAAATTGAAACGGCAACACGACAACGCGCCAATTCCGTTCCGCTTCGCACACTTCTGTCATGCACTCCCCGTAGATAAATATCCTCGAAATTCGCCCGCACTGAAATAACAGTTTGGCGTGTTAGATTATAAATAACTTATTAGACGTTTTGTTGTGTAGTATCACCGAGTATTTTTACTCGTTATTTGTATTTTGACTCGCCCTACGGGCTCGTCAAAATACGGCACAACTCGTAAAAATACTCAGCGATACTACACAACAAAACGTCTAATAAGATATATATATTTACCGAGCCCCGAAGCGGCGAGGTAAATATTCGCGAAAGCCACTATTCACCAAGATTGAAAATAATAATTATTTTAGTATATACACACGAAGTGATCTCGACAATAATTAATAGGGAGCCATTCAAAGGCAATTTCTGCTTCTGAAACTTTAGCGAAACGCGAGTTAACGCCCGCCATTTTGTTTTTCACATTATCCACTCGCTCGAAAGTGTATATTGTTGAATAGCCCGAAATAGCAAGCCAATCTGATTGCTTGAAACGCCAAAATCACCGAATGTGTATCTACTAGATATATATATATATATATAGCGGTTATAAATCAATGACATATATATATATAAATCAACCGCTATATATATTTATAAATCAACCGCTATATATATATATAGCGGTTATAAATCAATTCTGCAACCCGCATCGAGCACTTTGTCACAGCCACGACTTATCCTAGTCTGTTTATATATATATATATAGCAAAAATTTTGTAGTACACGAGGACGGACAACTTCGAGCTAAGAAAGACATATACTCAAATAAAAAGTCTAAGAAAGTTTAATAAAAACGTTTCGGTCCGAGACCTTCATCAGTTGTAATACAATGACTTACAAATTCCTTAAATAGATTTATATAGGGCGTGATGACACATATAAACAAAAACAGTAATTAATACGCGAAAAATTATCACAGTAAAAGGAAATGGAAAAATTGTCGAATCCACTGCAAATGTTAAGGAACCAGCATTGACTTGAAAGGCGGGAATTGTGCTAAAATTCCCAATTAACGCTGAGACTGGGACCTTTAATGCCCGCCCAATTTGAAAAAATTCTCCGCATTAATTATGGTTTATCTTTTTTGGGAGTGAAATTCCTGGCGCTTATTCAAGCCGAAGGCTGCCAGAGAGAACAACTGTGAGCTCCTATATGCTTCTTTGGTAATTAGAAGTTTCTCGATGTTACCTGAATTGTTTACTGTCGCCTGCACTTGATCAATGCATTGGAATGAGAAATCGCTTTAATCATGTGATGTTTTGTTGAAATGTACCGCTACTTTACAGGTCTTTTTCTTAGTGACCATAGCAGACTTGTGGTTGGGAAATCTAACTCTAAAGTCATTTGTTGAGGAACCAACGTATTGTAGGCGACATTTCTTGCACGAAGCCAAATAAATTATGTTCTTAGAATCACAGGAAAGTTTCGATCGTATCTTGTAACTCTTGCCTGTTTGAAAACTTAAAAAGGAATTAGATTCAACCAAGAAGTTGCGACAAAGATCGCATCTTGTTCTATTACATTTAAAACATCCCTTGACCTCAGCAACCCCTTCGCTTTCAATGTTAGGGCCATAACGGGATGGCGCCAACAATTCTTTAAGGTTTTTAGATCTGCGAAAGGATGCTATGATGGAATTTGAAGGAAAAAGCTCTTTTAACTTGGGATTGGATTCCAAAATACCCAGATGTTTTTTAATGATGCGACTTACATCAGGTAAATTTGGATTAAATGTGGTCACAAATGGGAATAATTTCCTCTTAGATCTGGCATGAGTCCTAAGTAGATCACTTCTAGGTATGGTANATCTGTCTGATTATCGCGTAAGCGTGAAACTCAGAGTCACAAAAAAGTTATTTCTCATTGATTAGTCTAATCTTCAAATATATATATATAGATAGATAGATTGATAGATTTAAAGCTCTGCTTTCATGTCCAAATTGCATGTAAAGTTCTGCTTTCATGTCCAAATTGAGCACTGTGGGATGAGTCATTGCCGCTAGCATTGCGCATAGCTCACTAGGCTTTTCTAGTTTGAGCACTCTGGTATGGCTTAAACGATAGCACATATGTGGGATCGTTTGGGGTGTCCATGTCGGTTCTACCCCATCCTAGCATCAGTATTGCACTGATGAGGCCCAGAAGGCCGAAACAGTACTGTCTGCTGTTATATATGTAGATATAGATATATAGGAAGTCTGCGTTTTGATTTTAACGTGTGCAGTGCTCGATATGTAGAACGTGATATATGTTGATGTAGAACGCAATATATGTTGAGTAAGAAAAATGCAAATTTGTATAGTCCATAAACGGTAGTATGTACAAACTAATAACTAGAAAGCGTCGCGCAAATGCATGACATGGCCCATCCTAATAGAGTGCTCAATTTGGACATGAAAGCAAAGCTTTGCAATGCCAAAGAGCTATATCTAACTGTATACAATACTGTTTCGGATTTCTGGGCCTCATATATATATATAAATAGAGTAAAAAGGTAAACCAAACGATGAGCTCCCAGTAGAAGGATCCGCGGAGGATACAGCGCTTCAAAGAAAATATTAAGTAAGTGTAAAACGATGAAACATGAAGCAAACTTCTAACTGTTCCAGCTTTAATGTGACGACGTTTCGGCCTTCGGCCTTCTTCAGGTGGAACGTATTTACATAAAAACTAGAATCTAAATACTAAAAGTCCTTTTTAGATTCTAGTTTTTATGTAAATGCGTTCCACCTGAAGAAGGCCGAAGGCCGAAACGTCGTCACATTAAAGCTGGAACAGTTAGAAGTTTGCTTCATGTTTCATCGTTTTACACTTACTTAATATTTTCTTTGAAGCGCTGTATCCTCCGCGGATCCTTCTACTGGGAGCTCATCGTTTGGTTTACCTTTTTACTCTATTTATATATATATATGAGGCCCAGAAATCCGAAACAGTATTGTATACAGTTAGATATAGCTCTTTGGCATTGCAAAGCTTTGCTTTCATGTCCAAATTGAGCACTCTATTAGGATGGGCCATGTCATGCATTTGCGCGACGCTTTCTAGTTATTAGTTTGTACATACTACCGTTTATGGACTATACAAATTTGCATTTTTCTTACTCAACATATATTGCGTTCTACATCAACATATATCACGTTCTACATATCGAGCACTGCACACGTTAAAATCAAAACGCAGACTTCCTATATATCTATATCTACATATATAACAGCAGACAGTACTGTTTCGGCCTTCTGGGCCTCATCAGTGCAATACTGATGCTAGGATGGGGTAGAACCGACATGGACACCCCAAACGATCCCACATATGTGCTATCGTTTAAGCCATACCAGAGTGCTCAAACTAGAAAAGCCTAGTGAGCTATGCGCAATGCTAGCGGCAATGACTCATCCCACAGTGCTCAATTTGGACATGAAAGCAGAACTTTACATGCAATTTGGACATGAAAGCAGAGCTTTAAATCTATCAATCTATCTATCTATATATATATATTTGAAGATTAGACTAATCAATGAGAAATAACTTTTTTGTGACTCTGAGTTTCACGCTTACGCGATAATCAGACAGATTTAAGAACAGTTGTGTGATAGTTACCCGCAAAGGACTTTCTTCTGGGTCAATTGTAACATCATAACGAAGGTTGTTTTAAATCCATTGTAACAAACCTAGAATACAATGGCAAGAGCCTATTTAATTCAAGTTCTGATGATGTACAACCTTAATGGATAAGATTACGAATCCAAGTGCACATTGTTACATATTATACCCTGTACAAGAACACAGGAATTTTAAGATAACACGTACCTTGATTAGGCTCAACAGGCCCATCCATGATGATGTAGAGAGCTGAGTTGCCTCCTAAGTTTCTCTTAATTGTCCGCCCATCCCAAATGCGGGGGACCCCATGAAACTGAAATGCGTTACTTGATTGCCTGACAGCTGCGCAGAAAAATCTATCCATTTAAGATAATCATGGCTCAAAATTATTTGGAGAATTATGAGTAATTTGCATGGCACCGATAGAGGAAATGATCTAGGGAATACTAAGATGTCGGCGTCCGAAATATTTGAAATCAGATGTATTCAAAACATACGAGGTAGTTTGTCAA